AAATCGTTTAGGAATAGCATACGGCAAACACGGTGTCCTAGGCGCACCAATGCAAATGCAATGCAAAGAGACACATAAGTGTAATCAAAACAATATATCATGAGTTCGAGTCAAGTTCTCTAACTCCCCAGCAGAGTCGCCAGAAACTGTAGACGCGCCCGAACGTCTCGGGAAAATCCCGTTCTGTTCATTTAGGCTTACTACTACAGTTCGGACTCAAATGTCATGGTTCTGAATCTGATCTCGCAAAGTGCAATGCAAGACCAATAAATCACCAAAGAGTCCAAATCCAGCAAATCGTTTTGGAAAACTGATTTTTATAAAGAAGTGCCAAACATGGACTACTTTGCCAGATATAGAGTCGCCATCTAAATATTTTGTTTTGGGGGAAATTTAGGAAACCTTGACTCATGCCTAAGGTCATGTGTCCGTCATCACCAAAGTTGCCTCGGCTCGGGAACTTTGGTACGAGAGGGGAAGGTCATGCAATGAGAACCCCCGCTCGCCCGATCAAAGGATCGGCCTATAAGCATGATATCTTATTTTTGAAAACACATGTGCTCTTATTCCGGTTAATTACCTAATCTTACTACGTGATGCGCACAACATACAAGTATAGACTAGATCACCTAACTTGGAACAAAGCATTGCATATTTGTTTGTTTGAAAACAGTTTGAAGTTTGCTACTCACAAGTAGGCTAAATCGAGGATTTCAATGAATTGTTCCAATTCAAGTAATCCAACCTTCACCCACAGGCATTCAGACAGTTATATCACACAAGCAATTAGCCTCATGGCAAGCATGCTTTCATGGCAATCAATAACACACATGCAGTATGCTAAAACGTACACACTCACAGTGTACTCCGAGCCAAAACAGAGAACTAGTTAGAAATCATGCATGACCCTAGTTCATGTTAAGATGGCTAATGCAACGCAAGCGAAAATGCATCTAAAATAGGCTCGGTTATTCTAAGATGACATGTGAAATGCAATAGTTCGATACATGTATTCAAATTGGAATTGAAATACAATGCAGTTAGTATGATGCGCCGAACCCGGTGCATGCAAGACAAATGAATGGATGCAAACATGTGAAGCATAAGTATGCTAATTGAAAAATACCCTAAACTAACCATCGAAAACGGGTAAGTAAAAGGAGAAAGACGTGGGGTTGGAAGACATGCACACACACACGCACCCTTATTACAACATATGCCCTCTCGACGGAGGGTCCGAATGAATTGAGCTAACTAGCTACGCTAATTAAACTAATTATTACATAACCAAATTGAATAAGTAGCTACAACTCATTATTACAACACTTAATTAATTGAAATTAATTAATTAATTAAAAATTCGAATACTAACTAACAAGTAAGCATTAAATATGTAAACTAGGCTGCCTCAGCTCTGCCTTGAAGAAGTTGAAAATGCATGCTCGGTTCCCATCCCAAAAGCTCTCCGAATGCCCTCTAGAGGCTCTGTCTTCAGGGTGTCCTTGAGAACTACCTATTGGATCTTACCAAAACAGTGCTGAGGAGTGCACCAGTGGCCTGCCGGCCATGAGGGGCTGCTGCCGACCACCCAACCGGCCAAGGATGAGGAGGGTGCCAGCCAAGGATGAATGGGGTGCCAGCCACTGGTGTGCTATGACACCAAGCTGCAACAGAGCACAAAACAGAGGAAATGGAGGGTCTCCTAAGGATATGTACACACAATGCCACCCCATATCACCTTAAAACAAAAAGGGAGAGGCATAATCGGATCCAAGACCATCAATCATGCATCTCGATGCATGATGGCCAAAGATCCAACACGTGCAAATTCAATAAATGAATGAATAAACATATAAAGCCTAAAACTCTATCATGCGTCATCAAGAGCGTTGGCGACCAAGAATTGAGGCACGTTTCATCACTTAAAGTATGAAACGTCCCTTGTTTCTCATGCTCGGATTAATACTTAATCCAAACAACAATGCAACACAAGCATGGCAAACATGCAATATGACTTAAGCATGCAAACATGCAATGTAACATGAATAACCTAACAAGGCTAATGGTATACACAACTAGCATACACAATGCAAATGGTGGCATACTCAATGTAATGTGACCTAAGCATGCAAACAACATGGCATTCATAATGCAATGAATCAACATGCAAACAACATGGCATACTCAATGCTATGAACTACATGGCATGCACAATGTTTAATGGACTTAAACCAAAATGGATGGACCTCAGTCATGTCTAAATTAGCGGCCATTGGTGATAAAATAAAGGCACATGAAGCATATACGAACATGCACATGCAATGGCCCATCAAAGAGGCCTAAGAGCACAACTCTCAAGAGAGCTCAAAGAGTGACAAATGTGGAAGTGTAACAACACTAAATGCACTGACATGAGGTAAGAAATGATGCCAAATCATTCAAACAAAGCAAGCATGGCATGCAAAGGTCCTTAAGCATTAAAGCTAACAAAGAGGACTACAAAGGGGGCATGCAATACATGGCACAAATGCATGAAACAACCATGGACAGAGCTGAAATAGGTCAAGACAAAGACCATAACATGCCAAGATGGAGGCTCAAATACCTAGGCAAGATGGCATACATGCTAGGCCATAAACTAGGCAACAATGCACAACACTCAAATGCACTTAAAGAGTGAATGAAGTGGGAATATGGAAATGCTACATGCTCTAAAATGAGTATAAAGTGATGCCAAATCATCTAAATAGCTCAAAGATAGCATGCATGAGTCAACAAATCACAAAGCTAGCAAGGCCAATTGCACTACAGCTATACAAAGCATGAAGTATATGGCAAAGCCAACCCAAAACAGTCCTAAAACATGTTAAAATGAGTCTAAAACATGCATGAAAGGAAGCCAAAACAACCTATTATGGAGGGCATAAGGCATGGTGCATACAAGGCAAATAAGGTGGATTACACTACACCTATTAAGACCAAGCATGGGATGACTTAACCGACAAAAATTAGAGTCATATCATGGCAAAATAACCCCAAATAAGCTCTGAAATGATGGCTCACAAGCTAAGGCATGAAGGCATATACAGTGGTTCATGTTAAGGCATAAAGGGGCCAACCCTCCAACGCATTGAATGAGTGATAAATGCAAGTGCATGAGCATGAAACATGAACTGAAATCACATATGAGATGATGTCAAATCATTCAAACAGTCCAAGTAATGCATGCTAGTGGACTTGGAACATGAAGCTAACAAGCTAGATTGTACTATGGCTATACAAACCAAGTCATGCATGGCCAAAACAACCAAAATCAGAGCTAAATCATCTTACAACATGGACAAAAGCTTCTTAAAGTTAAGCCAAAAGTCTGCTAGAATGACATATTAAACCATGATGCATGTTAGGCTAATTCATGGAAATGCACTACAAGTGCATGGAGCATGCAAGGGCCAACCAAACCCACCCAAAACAGAGTCATGGTATGCTGAAACAACACCAAAAACCTACTGAAATTGAAAGAAAACAAGGTAGAATGACATCCTACTTCATGAAGCATACAAGACTAGTTTGTGAGATTTACACTACAAGTGTATAAACCATACATGGAGTGGCCAAGGGAAGTAAAAACAGTGACATGCCTCAGCAAAATAACCACAAATACTAGCTAATATATGGCCAACACAAGCCTAACAAAGGTGCTCAAACATAAGGCATATGAAGCTAGTGAACATAATACAAGGAGAGAGGATGACTCTCTCCTATTTAGGATTCCAAAACTACCTATTGAAAATCCTCTGGATTTCAGTGGTAGAAAGGTCATGCAAAGGCTTCAACAAGAGCCTAAAGGGATGGCTCGAAAGAAGGCCTAACAAGGCCTAAGAGGGGGGGAGATCAACCTAAACGAAAAAGTGACCTTAAACAAACTTCTCAAGCATACAAAAATAGAAATTTTTTCAGTTAAGAGTTAAGCTTAAAACGTATGCAAGAAGGGCTAAAAGCTTAAGCAAAAATGGGAGATCTAAAGGTTAAAGACTCACCCTTGAAGACCTTCTTTACCACTGCAACTCCAGCCACTCGTTTGCGCTCAAACCAGCCCAAGAACACCAAAAACAACCTCAAGAAGCCTCAGTAACACAAGCAAGGTGTTTGAGTGTGTGTTTGTGTACAAAAGTGAGACAAAACTACACTTTTAAGGCACAAAATCAAAGCAAAAGAGAGATATAGATACAAGACTATATCTATCACTCATACCTCTATTTTCTGAACCTTTGAAATGGAGGAGCCTCTCCTTTTATAAAAGAGAGGCAATGCAAATCTTGTTCAAGAAGTTTGGCAAGAGCTTCATCCCTCCATACACGTGTATGGAGGGGAGATGAGTGAAAACTAGTTGGCTCAAAAGATCTGGCGTGAAACCTGCTGAGACAAGTGTTCTGCCGGCCATCAGCTGTGGCCGACAGTGGCTCACTGATGGCCGGCAGCCATCATCAGTAGCAGGCAGGGGAAAGTGCATGGCCGGCAGTGCCAAACAGTGGCCGGCAGTGCCCCATGAAAATCAAGAAGAAAGGACCAACACCTGGTCCAAAAATGGGGCAGAAAGGATACAGGGTTTGACTCACACCTGTGACGTTCTGCCGCGAAAGTCGAGCACTCGACGAGCGATCGAACTTGTGGCTGGATGTACCTGCAAGCACTACCAAGTCTTGAGGACGGTCAAAAATATGGTGTCTACAACCTCGAGCCAACTTACCATTAGAATGGAATTCGGACATAAGTTGCACTATCTCCCTTTTCATTATCTTCCAACATATCTGGATGCAAGATAAATTAAATCCATCAGGCCTTGGGGCTTTGTTACCATCACAATCATTGATTGCTTCCCAAATTTCCCCCTCTGAAAACTCTGCCTCTAACAACTCTGAGGCTTCAAGACCAATTGAGACAAATACTCCTGACAGTTTGGGCCTAATCTTCCACTCCTCAGAAAATAATTGGCTAAATTATCTCACCACTGCCTGTTTCATAACATCTAGCTGATCATAGATGACACCATTCTCTTTGACAGAATCTAGCAAATTTTTCCTCTGCCTATTACTAGCCAAGATATGAAAAAACCTTGTATTTTTGTCCCCATTGGTTGGCCATGTCAATCTAAATTTTTGATGCCATAAGCACTCCTTCTTTTTGTTCAGATCCCAGACTAGCTTTCTAACCTCCCTTCTCCTTTTAACCTTGTGTTCCAGCAAGTTCCTACCTTCAGCCTTAATATCCCAGTCATGGTGTTCAGCCTCAGCTTGTTTCAATTGCTCATCAATGTTTCCAAACACTTCACTATTCCATCTTTTGAGATGTGCTCTGAGATTCCCCAGCTTTTTCATAAACCTATAACTAGCCCAACTGCTAACCTGACTATTATCCCAAGATTTTCTCACTTCAGATTTAAAATTAGGATGTAATCTCCAAGCATTTATAAACTTGAAAGGCCTTGGACCCCAATCCCTCTCATCTTCCATTAACAATATAGGGCAGTGGTAAGAAATACTTCTAGGTAGCCCCAACTGCTTAAATGAGAACTTTTCCAACCATTTATGGTCAAGTAGGAATCTATCAATCCTACTCCACCTATCCCCATCCAAAGCATTGCACCATGTAAAGATTCTGCCAATCATTAGGATATCAATCAGCTCCAAGTTATCAATTAACTCATTGAAATCCTTTATTCCTCTATCCCTCCTCAAACACCCTTTCCTTTCACTCATAACTTAACTTCATTGAAATCACCTCCTACACACCAAGGTCTTGCAAAAGTAGATTTAAGTCTCAGCAGAGATTCCCATAGCTGCCTCCTTTTCAGTATTTCATTTGGAGCATAAATATTTACTATAACACAATCAAAAGAGTGGTTTAAAGTACCTGGCAACAGAACAAAGTTTCTATTACTACAGCATTCCAATAGAACAAATATATCTGGATTCCACAAGCATATCCACCCCAGAGGAAATTAGACTGAATTTTTTCAAGTGATTTTACAATACCCACTGGCATTTTAAACAGAGATAAAAAATAGACTGGCAAACTAGACAGCACTGATCTTATCAAGGTTACTCTACCTGCAAAAGACAAGCACCTTCTCTTCCATAGAGCTAGCTTCTTCTTAAAATTATCCACCACTGGCTGCCAAGTAGACTTTCTCCTTGGCAAATGCAAAAAATGAGGAATTGCTAGGACAAAGTGAAAAGAAAAGTAAACAGAAGGAAATGGTGAACAAAGATACAATGGAGAAGAAAGAAAGCAATAAATGGGAGTCTCAATCAGCCATAAAAGAGACAGAGTATGATTTGGGAACCCCAAATGATGGAGGTAACTACATGGAGCAACGTCTGGGACAGTGCGATAACTCAAGCAAACAGGCAGCAAATGAAATTCAAATAGTTGAAGGCCAAATTTGTTCTCCTGGGCCTATTAGGAGGGTTAATGGGCCAGAAAGTACATGGCCCAATATAAATTTAGAGGTAGTTTTAAATGGGGGTCAGTTTGGGGAGTTGGCTAAAGGGCCTATCTTTGAGGCTTCTAACCTAAGTGATTGTGCAATTCATACTCAGGTAAGTCCACTAATTATTGCTCCGGCCCAGCAGGGAGTGAAAAATAGGGGTACTACATCAAAAAAGAGAAACACTATTGAAAAATTCACCAATCGAAGTATAAGGAAAGGAGCTGAATTAAAGAGAAGGGAAAAGTTAACCGATAACAATTGCAGAATAAAGGTGGGCTGTTCAGAAATTGTCTTCAAAATGGAGCTATATTTCAAGCAACAACTGCTGTAATTTCATTATTAGTTTCGCAAAGTACAAATTCAAGGAGAAGGAGGAAGTTGTTGAATGAAGCACAAGCTACAGTTCAAGTTAGGAAAATTTTGGGGTTGAATTATGAAGGCAATAAGGAGGAGGTGGTAAGCAAAATAATTGAGCTAGAAGAGAAGGACCTAGAAAGAATGGAAGGTATTGGTGCAACTTCCTAAGCCTATTGGTTGCTACTAGGAGGTTTGGTTTATGTTAATTGTTTCCTTATGAAGATATTGTCTTGGAATGTTAGAGGTCTAAGAAGGCCTAAAAAGGGGAGGAAAATCAATACTTTGGTTAGGGATAGAAAGATTGATGTTCTACTGTTGCAAGAAACAAAGAGATGCAGTGTTGATGAAAACTTTGTCAAGTCACTATGGCCATGGGAGGAAATGGATTTCATGGAGGCTGGTGCAGAGGGTAGTGCCAGAGGTATGCTTTGCTTATGGAATCCAGAAATCTTTCTATTACAGGAGTGTTGCAGTAATAGAAACTTCATTCTGTTGTCAAGTACTTCACACCTCTCTTTTGATTATGTTATTGTAAACATTTATGAACCAAATGATGTCTTGAAAACAAGGCAACTTTGGGAGTCTGTAGGCTTAAATCTACTTTTTTAAAACCTTGGTGTGTAAGGGAGGATTTTAATGAAATTAGATTTATGAGTGAAAGGAAAAGGTGCTTGAGGAGGGATAGAGGAATGAAGGACTTTAATGATTTGATTGATAATTTGGAGCTGCTAGATATTCCCATGCTAGGCAGAACATTTACATGGTGAAATGCTTTGGATGGGAAAAGATGGAGCAGGGTTGATAGATTCCTAATCGATCGTAGGTGGTTGGAAAATTTCTCATTTAAGCAGTGTGGGCTACATAGAAGTATATCTGACCACTGCCCAATATTGCTTATGAAAGATGAGAGGGTTTGGGGCCCAAAGCCATTTAGATTCATAAAAGCTTGGTGCTTGCACCCTAATTTTAAATATGAAATGAAGAAATCTTAGGAAAACAAGCAGACTAGTGGTTGGGCTATTTACATGATAATGAAAAAGTTGGGGAATCTAAGAGTACATCTCAGAAGGTGGAATTGTCAAGTGTTTGGAAATATTGATGAGCAGTTGAAAAAAGCTGAGGATGAACTCCATGAATGGGATATAGAAGCTAAAGGTGGGATATAGAAGCTGAAGGTAGGAATCTGCAGGAACATGAGATTATAAGAAGATGAAAGGTTAGAAGGTTAGTCTGGGAGTTGAGCAAAAAGAATGAGTGGTTATGGCAAAAAAAATCCAGACTGACATGGGCATAGAATGGTTAGTAGGCAATCATTTACCTCCCTCAGATTCCTAACCCCTAACCCTCCTTGAATCTTACTCCAGTATACCTCCTTCGAACTAACAAGATGTACTTTTCTCCTCATTTCAGTTCCTCCCCAGAGAAAATTAGACCGAATTTTATCAATTGATCCTGAAATACCCACTGGCATTTTAAACAAAGATAAGAAATAGACTGACAAACTTGACAACACTGATCTTATCAAGGTTAATTTTCCTGCAAAAGACAAGCACCTTCTCTTCCATAAAGCCAACTTCTTCTTGAATTTATCCACCACTGGCTGCCAAGTAGACTTTCTCCTTGGATTTGCTTTTAAAGGCATACCCAGATACTTCATAGGCAGCTTCTGGCTATGGAAATTAAGTCTTACATCAAATTCTTTCACTAAATCATCCTGTACACCTAACCCACACACCTGACTTTTGTGGAAATTAATTTTAAGACCTGACATTACCTCAAAACATCTTAGAATTCTCTTAATAGCAATTATTTCCTCCCAATCTGCTTTACAAAATATGATGGTATCATTTGCAAATTGGAGGTAAGATAATTTCAGCTCATTTTGTCCAATTAAAGCTCCCTAATCAAACTCACTTCTTTTTCTCTTTCCATCAATAAATGAAGGCCTCTGCAGCAATGTTTAAAAAAAAGGGTGAAAGTGAATCACCTTGCCTAAGGCCTTTTATTTGAGAAAATTCTGATATGGGTGAACCATTATCTAGCACAGAGACTTTAGTTATGGAGATACAAAGGTTGTTCACTGCTGCATTTTTTTCCACATGAGAGGAGAGGGTCGTGACTGGATGCTAGCTTTTAGAAGGCCTCTTCTTGCTTGGGAAGGGGAGGAAGTGTTGCTTCATAATGCACCTAATCTAAATGCAATGGCTGATGATTCTTGTTATTAGTTAGCACACTCTTCTAGGTCTTTTACTGTGGCATTAGTATGGAAAAGAGTGGAATCATCCAAAGGTCCTGAACAAACAATTACAATGAGTATTTGGAGGAATATTGCTCCTCCCAAAGTGAAATTT